CCTCTAATTTTTACTGGAAGATTGGTATAATATTTCATTAACCTTGTCGGAATGATATTTTCTCATCTAATTGTAAAATCTAGGAGGGATGCCACAACGTTTACCCAATTTAAGAAAATTCAAGTTTTTCTTTTATCTTCCTTAATCATATCATTGTTTGATAGTCTTACCACCATAATTAGATGGTAGATATGAAGACCAAGACGGTGCTCGCAGTTTCCTTTAGCCATATAATGCTGGTTTGGCCTCGTTTTCCCAGTTAGGTCGAAGCGACGGGGAGGCCTTGTAGAACATACCTACTATTACGTCGCCTGCAATATTATTCCTGATTTCCAGCATCGGACTAGTGGCCTATTTGGGTTTTAATGTTGTATATTTCAATACCTGATTAATTGAGGAAATTTAAATTTTTTCGTTTTATTTACTAGCTTCCTGATGCTTATTACCTCGCAATGAGTTAGATCAAAGTTAAACATTCCGTTATCTAGCTATTTATAGAAATTAATGTCAGGCAAATATATCGTCCTAATTCTGTTGCTCCATATAATTGTCCAGAACATTCGAATTATACTTTATGTAAGCGAAAACTTCAAACTAATTTGAACGTCGTCTCTCAGCCCTATTCTCTGGGACCTTTTCTGTCGCGTTTATTCAACAATAATTCTTATACAAAATGTTTTTATCCTAGATACATTAATTAAGACTTTTCACTCCAATATTCAGATCGCGATTCCCAAACTGGTCTACTTTTACCTACGGCAAAAGTTGTTATTCTCTGGGACAGCGTGCATTTCGCCCTAGACACTGTACTTAACTGCCGTCCTTCAACCATAGTCCCACAGTGTGTTGACTCTAATGGATCTGCGCAGACAAACCTTGTTCTGCACGCATCTGAGGCCGATTTAAGCACATTGAATACCCAGGACTCGAGTCCATCTATTGGGTTTTGGGAAAAGGAACTATACTTGGATATCAGCCTCGTTCTTCGTAGTCTAATAAATAATTTCGCACCTCCCGATGACCCAATCCTTCGAGTCTACTATATTAATTGCCTCTCTCAGCTTGTTGTACATGCTTCACCGACAGATGAGGCGAATGCCTTCGTGCCTGAACTCCTTAAGCAGGTAAACTCATATGATGTCTTTTTTTAAAGGTATGCTCATATAGATTTATTTTGTTGTCTTGAAACTGATGTCGATTTTGCACTACTTTTCATGAGGACAAAGATTTAGAGAACCTGTCATTTTTGAATCGACTATTCTCATTCATAGTTAATTCCTTTTTTTTTCTTGCTGGCGACAGGAATGAGATTTATTTTGCTCATTTAAATAGTTCATTATAACCACTATATTCTTTTTATATTCTCTGAAGTACATCCCAAAACTGTCAATTTCACTAATAGTGTAACTTATGAATTTTGAAGCATAATCATACTGCATTTAATTAAACATATATGTCCAGTCCCTTAAATGAATGATATTAATAGTGTCAACTTTACCTCGTTTTTGTAAAATGATCGAAATGAATAGAGATATCTCTTCAAACTTACCTAGTTCTGTGTCCTCTGACATTTTATTCATAATTTCCAGCATCGGATCGTTGACTTGGTAGATTCCTAGACGTTTTACCGGCATCGTAAGTGATAGGCGCCATCCTTAGCACAGGGTTAGAACTTATCAAAATGACAAGTGGAGACAATCCTTTCGGCAAATTTTCTGTTAAATCGTTGTGGCATCTCTCCTCCCCCTTTGTCCTAGATTATATAGGTGCACTTTAAGAAATGCTCAAGTAAATAAATGGGAACGGGAAAATCGAAAAATGGACAATGAATTCACATATAAGAAATAATACAAGAGCCCCGGTAGCACACAGTTTGCCGAAAATAGACAAAGAAGAAGAAATATTCAGACTGATAGTCAACAATCAAAACGGAGCAACACATAAGCTGGCGAAATTTATCTAATCCAAATTAAAGAAGTTGAATGACAGACTATCGAATACAATAAAGAATTCATAAGAATTTTGCCAAAGAATCAAAGGTATCAGATTGGAGGGAAGCAAAATATCAATGAGCTTTGATGCACAGTCTACTTATACAAAGAGGGTAAAGAGTAGATAGATAGGCCATGACAGAAGGAGTGATAGTGTAACCGTTTCCAGCAGAACGGTTGTCGAGGGATTGACTTCACTTGTCTCTT